GGATGAGCAATCCTGAGGTTAGGCGTAGAGTTTGAGGAAAATCGCGGTCGTCCAGTTGAGAAGGTAGTCGACCTCCATAGATTACGCTGTTTGGGACATGTGTTAGGCATGTCACCAGATAGGTCGCCACGGCGAGCAATGTTCGCCGAAGCAGACACGGAGTGGAAAAAGCCAAGGGTGGTCAAGCTAAGACCTGGTAAGAGGGTATGAAAACCCTTACCAAGAGACTGGGTCGCATAGGTCCCGTTAGGCTCCTTGACTGAGGACCACGAGATGATGGTCACCGATGGTTACAGACACTGAGCGACATGGCTGGAGACGGCAGGATAATAAAAACAAATAACAGTAACGACCAGATAGGAGTGAACAGCGAGGACCGAAAATTATATTTTAACAAAGTACTACACACGGGGAACGTTATACTTACCCTTTGCGTTTGGAATAGGATATTCTTTTCATCCAGTTCGTCTGTCTCGTAGATGCTCAGCAGTGCTTCAGCAAGGCCTGGTTGCATGAACAATTGCTGGAGTACGGCGTTCATGTAACACGTCGCACCACCGTTACGCAAACCCACAAACCCACTGTCATTACGACCCGACAGTACAGGTTGCACATCCCAGTTGAGACATTTTGATGAAGACTGTATGTAATGAAACGGGGTTCCAGAGAAGTGTTTTAGCTAATCAACGGGAACTGCCAGATGCAAAAATCTAATATATGCAACAAGAAACAAACTCGTGAACTTCTTAAAACGTATTTTTGAGAAACGTTGGCAACAGTTTAACAACAGGCAGCTATTTTTGTAGCATAGGCGGAATTAAGGAACTTCGAATTACCTTTGTTTATTTGTACCTCCCCAGTAATTTAATTTAAACGATAAGGATAATTAGCTGTTCCCTGATTCAGCCACTAAGCTCATCAATTTTACATGTACTTCAGAAAAAAACATCAGATAAATTGGACGAAAAAGGATCAAGGAAAAAATGCATGGTTTCAATATGTGTATACATAACTGGAGCGGTTTGAATATAAGAGAAATACTTCAAAGAACAGATTCAATTATGTAACTGTGATTCGGTGAAACATGGAGCACCCAGAGGATACACTGGTTTGTTTGTCGCAATTAATCGAACTAAAATAGTACATCAAAGTGAACAGCACATGGTGTCGGCACCTAGGATTTTATCTCTGGCGGTCAATAAAATTGACAAACTAGGGATATGATATCTGAAATAAACCGCATAGTCTAACCCAAGCCACTTAATTGAGCTTACAACATCGGCAGTTTAATCGTCTTTCGTTGTTCTATAATAAATAAATAAAACAAAGGTGAACGTCAAGCAAGATAAACATGTCGTTTTACAAAATCCTGACATTAAACAGAATGATACCCCCTACTCACTGTATCAAAACGTCAGTACTGTAACCCATATCTTACTGAAATTCCCTAATGAATTTGGGCTTATTATACAAAAGTGCTTGGTCACTGGTTTTATATACTGAACTGAAACAGAACGCTTATGTTTCAGGCGTAAACTGATGATGAGATCATCCTTCAGTACCATCAGGTATACCAAACACCAGAGTATTCTCACTTGCACACTTCTTGTTCGACCGGTAGAATCTTCGCCCAGAAGAATTTGTGAAACCCGGGGTGAACTGCGACCAGATAGATTTTCTGGTGTTTGCATAGCACTACTAGGACCGGCCGAGGAGTAGGCGGAAAAAGAACCCATCTGTACCGGGTCGTGATTATGATGCAATAAGATGAGAAGGTCAACAATCTGTTGGGGGGGGGAAATGAGGCAAACAAGTAATTAACACCACATATATATCAACAGCGGAGTGAGTATTGTCCACGCTGCATTATAAGTGGATATCCTACAGAAAATCTCTTGAAAGAAGTCTGGGTGGAAAGACCTAGTTTCCACCCCCTTCCTTTCAATCTGCTTCAGTTCACTAATCGACATTTTCAAGCACTAACAGTTTCATCTTGACTAGTGACGAAATATTTATCAA